GAAAATTTTGTCTTCCTACCCTTAGGCCAAATTATTTGTTTTGGCGTAGAAGCTCTAATTTTAATTACAGAAACTGTTTTTAACTGCATTTGATGTTTTAGGTTTTTCTGTATTTTACAATTTTTAATTATAAGATGTTTTGATCTTTTATGTATTTTTTGCCTTGCACCGAAGTGAGAACTAAATTGATTGTATGAAAAATATATCTCTAATAAAATTCGAGTAAGTTTAAATGAAGCGCAGCAAAAAATATGTACTATAATTTGATAAGCTGTACAAGGAAGTATGTGGTTTCCACATCAGATTATTTTGTTTCAGCGGCGATGAAAAAGTTTCCTTTATAATTTTTGCTAGTATTTTGCTGACAATCTCCGGAGCTTAGGTAAAGTGTGAAAAGAAATTACAAATATTTGGAAAACAGATTTTTAAGGGGGTCAGGTACTTCGAAATAGACCATAAAACAGAAATTTTGTTATGCTTTTATTTTAGAATTTGATTTCTTACGAGCAAAACATATGTAGAACAAGTCCTGTGTAAAAATTCACTCTAGAACCTGAGTTATGGTAAAAAAAGGAACTAATTCTAAGCTTCTGCCATTTAAAGAGCTAGGCGGTTAGTTTATATTCGCATTTCGGAAGATGCCTCATATTAAATCCCCTGAACTACACATATAAAATGCTTCTGTATAAATTTCATATAAATGTATGCTAGATAAATATGATAGAAAAAATAACTTTAGCTTATCTGTCTATATATTTAATTATATGAAGAAAGTAATATACTTACAGGATTTTAAGGTAGTTTCATTTTCCAATTAAAAGATTTAACAAAAAGGGGATGTTCTTGATTGTGTGCTCTCAACTGGCTGATTAGAATTTCGATTGATCTTGATTAATATTGCAAACATCATGTTTGTATAAAATGGTCAATTATTATCCTCCTGACCTAAAATCTTTCAGAATTATAGTAAAATTTGAAATCATATAAAAATTTCGACTCTTCAGTGTACATTGGCTCATTTAAATGTATGATAATTATGCATGCAATATTGCTTAAATATATAACCATGCATGCTTGCAAATTTTAATTTATAAGTACATTTTTATATTTCTTTGCATATACAAAGAATTTTTTAAATTAAGAATTGTCGTTACTGTAATTTTCCAGCTTGCAAGCTCGATTTTTCCGAAGTTATTAGTCATAATTTTTTTTTTTTTAAATTGAGAAATGTAGACTCCAAAGTGAGTTTAAAATTTGCAATTAGTATACTTCTCGCCTAAAAATTTAGAAATTACCTTTAATTTTATGCCGATTTTGGAGTCCCAATAAATGAATAAATAATAATAATAATAGTAATAAATCTGATGTGTACACCACATGACTTCCTTCTACGGAATATTAAATTATATGCATTTGTTCTTGCATTTAATTTAAACTTACTGGATTGAATTAAATCTACTTCGACGATAGCGCATAAACCACAGAATAAATACACTCTTTAAAATTCACTATATTTGTTTACCATAGCGACATTCTGTCGCCAGGTTCATTTAATAGCGTTACATTTCGTTCATATTATAACTCAGAATGCACAAATAATCGTTGCCATATGTTCTGTTCAAATACTATAATAAATCTATAACGATATGTAAAAGAAATTAAGCAAGCAAATCAAAAAAAGAACAGTTCTTCACAGACGATTCAGTATTTTTCATTCAATTAATTTATTTCTCACTTCCCGACAAGGCAAAATACATTAAAAAAAAAAAAAAAAACTCAAAATATATTAAATTTATATTAAAAAATTTAAATTAAAATTAAGAAGTAAATCCTAAACACTTATTTCCTCGAATAAATTACAGAATGGATTAAGCTTGATTTAATTCCCAATAATAAAAGAAGGCGTTATCTTTGTTGGTGCGAAGTTTTGTTTCTCTAAATTGGCAACAAATCTGTTATTTTGCCAAGTTTCAAATGTAAATAAACATGGCCGCCATCGCAAAAATAATTAGGCTTAACCGCACGCATATTCACAAAACTTACAGACCATTTCTTTTAATGCTTGCTCCGATTGGTTAAAACAAGAAACATAGGGTTGCAGAATCTTGTGCTTGACGACTTTTGCTTCATCACATTTGCTATTTGTATATGAACGTGGTGTACCAAAAAGCGTGCAAAAGTCAACGCAAAAACCGCAGCCCAGCGATACGGAGTAAAGAAGAAATTCAGAGGCATAAAACTCTTAACCGGAGGATAAGAACAACACAATTCAATCATTTTTTGCACAATTTACAAACATAAAGAACGTAAAGAAACTGAGATCACTGAGCCGGGTAACAAAGTGGATATATGTATAAATATATTTATATACTTTTGGTGCGGCCGATTGCAACCAAAATACGAGGTGCACATCTACCTGTTATTAGCATTCCTATATGCAAAATTTCAACGTTCGGAGGCTACTCGTTTTTGAGTTGTGCGAGATGTACGCCACGAAATGTACGTATGTACAGACGCCACGAAAAACTATCTTCAGAATTCATTTCAAATCAATTTTATAATTTTTTTGGAAGAAACGAATCTTATTCTGTCCTTACTTACAGATGTCAAGCAAAAGATATTCTTAAATTGCATTCAATAGCGGTCAAATTGGATATTTTCGTTGAAATATGATACCTGAAAAATTTCCCCGATTACAATACTTCCTTTTTACTTCGTACAAGGAGGTAAAAACAATAAAAAAACTATGAAAAAAAAATCTGAAATGTTTCAGATTTTAAATTGCGTTCAAATTTTTTTTTTTTTTTAAACATTTTGTGTGTTGCCTTTATTTATTAAATATCATGTTCTTTGCACTTAAACCATAAAATTTAGTTCAATAGTAATGTCGCAAAATAATTTTAATCTTTTGAATTTCCGATACACAGTCTCACCCTTTGGAGATAATCCCCCCCCGTACAGTGTTACCTTTGCTTGCGTTGAAATCGTTGAGTTTCTTAATCAAAAATTCGTTAAAGGGTTACAAAATATGAAATCAAAATTTAAATTATATCCAAACGGGCGTTTTTTAACATTTAGTTCATTACCTTTATTTATTAAATATCATTGTCTTTGCACTTAAATCATAAAATCCAGTTCAACAGTAATATCGCAAAATAATTTTAAAATGAGCATATCGTTAGAATTTGCGATACACAGTCTCGGGTGCTGGTGCGATATATAGTCTCGGGTGATACACAGTTTTCAAATTGTTGCCACCATATATTATCGCCCTGTATTAAATATAATACAGGGCGATAATATATGGTGGCAACAATTTGAAAAGTGAAACAACGCTTGTAGCGAATCAACGCAAAATGCCAGAACGGAATTAATAATCCTTCTGGGCATATTGTCTCTTTGGACTAATAATAAAACAAATTCCAAATCTGGGCTTCCCAGATTCCGTATTCAGAGAAGGATTACGTTATTCGGCATTTGATGGTTTTAGGTACCGTTGTTTTACGTTACCGAGAAACATACATTTATTCAGGTGCTTCATTATTTAATTTTTAAATATAACACAGGCCGATAATATTTGGTGTCAACAGTTTGAAAATTGGTACGGACATTTACAGTGAATCGATGCAAAATGCCAAAACGAAATTAATTAGCCCTTCTGAGCTAACGCGCCTTTGGGCTAATTAATAAATGTTATTTTTAAACAAAAATGTAATAATGTTATTTTTAACGCAGGTCGCTTCAATTGGACATTATTATTATCTTTTTAAATTTTAGAGGGAAGAAATCAGCTAAAAATAGTCATTTGTTTATAATGCTTCTCGTGGCACATAGCAATATTATGTAAATGGGAGAGAGAGAAAAAAAAAAAAAAAAAAACTGAAAAACAAAAAAAAAAAAAAAAAAAAAAAAAAAAAAAAAAAAAAAAAAAAAAAACTTTTATATTTGGAACATTAAATAAAAGCAGAAAGTTGCTATACCATGACTAGTGAATTAAGAATATGAAATTGTACGATCATTAACTAGTTATAAAGATACTGTGCTTTGGAATGTGTTGTATTTTTGCCATATTTTGATATTTTAAACGTATTTATCATTCTCTGCAAGGTAACACACGCACAATGTGAGCATTTTGTTAAGATCAGTATTTGTACAGTCCAGCAACTTGAAATTTTATAAAGCAAATTAATAAAGCCACTGTTTCAAGCTGATAATTAAGGAAATGTGGTTTGTGCGTAAGGGTCTCTGCACTTCGAGTTGTGAGGAAGTATCACTAATAAACGCAATGTATTCCCACCTTGAATATGTAGAAATGTCGCATTACCAACGGCGGTTACTCGTCCACTTGGGGGGGGGGATTTCTTTCGCGATTCTAAAAGCAATTAAAACTTCATGTCATTTGCATGTAACATTTATTAGACAAAACATGTATGTCTCTCACAGCATCAAATAGCTCTATAGTTAAAGCTTAAATTTATAAATTAGTACCATTTCTCAAAAGCTGTATTATAATTTAAATATTAGTGATGTTCTTTGAGACGAAGATTGGCTTTTCTCTAAACAGTTACGAGCGTGATACAATAAAATTGCATTAGCTACGGTATCTTAAAATGCTCACACTATGCAGTTTAACAAATATAATCTGGAAAACTTGAAATTTCACATTGCAGTTATTTAGGAAACAAAATTTGGAATTTATGTAAGTGCTGATGTCGTTAACAAAATAAGTTGTAAATGAATTTTGCGCAGAATATCTAAAATAATTTTTTAATAAAAACTTGCGCAGAATATCTAAAATAATTTTTAAATAAAAACTTTTCTTTCTTCTCCACGGATCAAGTTGCCATGGGAAATAAAACGTGCTTAAGTTTTTGATTTCTTTTGAAGAATGACGGCACTTTTAATTTTTGCAATGCTTTAAATATTTACTATGTTTCTTCTTAGATGCTTTTTTGACTTTTTTATATGGGGTTTTGCTTGTATATGTCTTTGCTGTGTAGGTAGCTGGCTATGGATTTGGTATAGCTGTAAGCGGAGGTAAGGATAACCCACATTTTTCCAGCGGTGATCCCGCAATAGCGATATCCGATGTGCTCAAAGCAGGACCTGCTGAAGGAAAACTGCAGTAAGTGTAACACTGATATGTATATATTAAGATTATGGTAATTTGTTAATTAGAGTAGCATTTTCCGAGTAATGATTGCTTTCTTCTTATGAGAAAGCAACAATATGTTATGAAGGCGAGAATTAGATTAGTTTCGGCAATGGTTGAACTAACATTTTTTTATTTGTTCATCGATGCGTGAGGGACCCTGAGATACAGAAAGCCATGAACGAATGGAGGATATCCAGGATTTAGAAAGCGCTTTAGTGTAACACATAAAATTTGTGTATGCCATGAAACTGAAACAAAAAATTTGTGGTGAAAGTGACCTCCATATTTCAGTAAATATTGCTTTTATAACTGCTATCAAATAAATATTTCGCTATACATCGCTAACCTGCTACTCCCAGCTGAATGTTATAGAAACTTAGAGATATTTTCAAAAGTTTCTGAACAAATTATGTTGCAAATTTTTATTGGAACTTTCTTGTCAAAGAGAACTTTCTTGTCAAAGAGAACTTTCTTGTCAACCACTACATACGTCTTTGACGACATTTGCAATTTGCTCATTACAGGCCACCAGTTTTCGCGACTAGCTGTTTTAACAAGGAAAATTTTGTTTGGTTTATTTGATTATGGCAGAACGCGCGAGAGCTATGTGCCTAAAGAAAGGCATAACTTCGTGGAAAACTTTTTAAGGGAAACTGGTGCATTACCATATGGGGAAAACCATGAAAACGTACATGCATCCAACCTGTTTGCTTGGAATCGAACCGAGATTGAACTACCAGTGTTCAGCGACTTTACCACTCGGCCGCTACTAAAAGCAAATATTCTATTTTTCTATGAAGTAGACTGAAAATGCAGTTTGCAAGTATTTCAAGTCTTATTTCTTCATCGATGGCAGGAATTATTATCTAGAATCAGTTGCAGATGGACGAGAGGGGTTTTTAAATAAGACTTAAAGGTACCTTTATTAAATTTTTTCTGAGGTATCAAAATGTCTAAAGTTATAAATTAAATTCAAAAGGAAAAGAGTCCGTTGGGCCCGTTATCTTATGCAGACACGATTCGATCAAAAGGGCCTTTATTGCGCAGTAAGATTGTTGGTGATGTACTAAAGTAACGGTACTTACGTATTAATGCAATCACCTTGGTTTAGTTTGGCGGTTTTTTGCAGACGAAAAAGTAAAAATTACTTATCGGGTGCAAATTGGCGATTTTCACCCCCCTTTTTTAAATTCCCAAACCTCTCGATATTTATTGTTAGTTGAGAAACATTAACAAAATATCGAAAGAACTTTAAAAATTAAGAAAAAAATTAAAATACAAATTTTAATTGATAAATAAGGATTATATATTAGGGGGAAAAAAATAAAACACTCTTTTCGCGAAATCCTTTAATTTTTTTGCATTGTTCTTTTCCCTAGCGGTTTATTTTCATTAAAAAAATTAAAGAATTGCACCAACTTGACGATGCGCAAACGCATCTCATCATTGTTAACTTTAAGGATTTTCAGTGAAAATTTAGTGAGTTTTATAGAAATGCCATAATATTCCTGCAGAAATTTTCCCGCAGTTTTTTCCATTGCTGGCGAATTCCACAAGCGATAGTTTAAATTTGAGTTGAAAGCGAAAAATATCACTGTCTTTCTTAAAATAAATAAAAAAAAAATAAAATAAAATAAATAAATAGAATTTGGGAGGGGGGGGAACACGAAAATGGCGACGTTGTTTGACTGAAGGATTATTAGGAGCATGATTGCCTGAGGAATGTTTACGCAATATGGCACATTCTGAAAATTTGACGACTTCTGCTGAGGAGGTTGCGATAATACATAAGTACTACAGTAACTAAGGTGTTTATTGCAAAGTTATCAATCTGTTTACTTAAGAATCACATCTCCCGCAGATTTTAAATCTGCCTAAGAATATTTTCATCGCGATCCCATTAATTATTTGCACTCTCCAACACAAGCCACATGCCAATGAGCCTATTAATCGTAAACTCTTTCCTATCCGCTTTTTGCTTTAGTGTTTGTACTGTGTATAAAAAATTTTAAAAAACCAAAAAAAGTATAAAATATAAAATACAAAAAAAAAAAAAAAAAAAAAAAAAAAAACAAAAATTTAAAAACCTAAAAACTTATAAAAAAATTATGATACTTAAGTTTTTTATTCTCATCTCTATCCCTAAACTTTCTCGAGCCTGTGGCTCTCTCTATTGAGCATCAAGTAAATCACTTATATGCTAAATTTTTCCAATTTCTGCTCGCTTTTAGTAACTCTGATGTGGAGGTAAATGGTTTTGAACCATAGGCACTCCGAAATTTTTAAATCATTGGCATTGGCAGGTGTTTATTTAATATAGAAATATGAGAACCTTTCTGGATTCACAATAGATTTAGCAGGTATAGTCTTGCAAGAAAAATGGTATAGTCTTGCAAGAAAACAGATGTTCAGGAGTGTGCTAATTTCATGTTAGAGATAACCTTATCTCTAGGTACTTTTCCGTTTTGCCGGCGCAGACGATAAAGTCGCCAATAATGGTACAACTGATACGAAACGGAATATCCTCGCTGGTAACCTTTTACTCCTCATCTTCAAAACAAGTCGCAGCCATTTCGTATCAAATTGATTGTTTCTTTCAATACTGGCATAACAATTACATAGAATTTTTTCCAGGTAGTTCAATTTTATGCCCTAAGGCCATTCGCGGTAATTAAGTCAATTAGAATGCAATCACACCGCTCACCCGAAGGCGAAAATATAGAAAAGGCACAGTCAAGGGCTAAATTCATCAATTCGAATGAGAATGCTCTAGCGAAGTACAGCATTGCGTTTTTACATAATTTCTGAGTAAGCTATTCGTACGAATTGAAATAATTCTTGCATTTAAACTTGTATTTCAAATTAAGATTTAACTTGAAATTAATGTAGATAACTACTGAGAGAATTAGATTTTTGCAGCGTAGTTTACGTGAGATGAGATCATTTGGGGTCACGTGATATGAACCGGCGAATCTGGATGTTGATTCTTAAATTAAGGTCTTTTTACAAATTTATTGGCTTTATACAAAATTTTAAACGATATTAAAATGTTTATGCCTTCAAAATAAAAAATTCTTAGGACTAACATTTGTTAACATTTTTTACGTGTATTACGGTATGTTGTCACCAATAAAGTCTGCTTGACAAGATTTGCGCCGGCGAAACGGAAAAGTATCCTTTATTATTTTTCTATGACTTTGTCTGATTACAAATTGGGCGTGGCTGCAGAATATGATTCCAACCACTTCCTTCTAAAGTTGTTGATCAACAGTTTCACTTAAAATGTTGTCTAATAGTCTGGTAACTCAAAATTAGTGCTTATAAAATGTACACCTTAGATACAGGGTTTAATTACCCCTTTGGGTACAATTTTGTTTTGAGGACCGCAAAAAATCTCCCCGGGTAAAGTTCTAGACACACATAACTTTTTCTACATCTGACATAATTATTTTGCGCATGCGTGAAATATCTGTCGCCAAAAAACGCCAAACTGATGTCGAAGTTCAAACAGGTTCGACGGTCACATTACGTCTATGGAGCCTTTCCTTCTTTATATAGACTTTCTTTGACTCAGCCGGCGCACGTTTGTTTAAAAAAAAGTACCCTGGAAAATATGGCTACAGGAAACAAGAGATTAAGCTATACAATTCAGTTTAAACTAGGAGTGTTAAACTACGCCAAAGTGCATGGAAACAGAGCAGCAGCAAGGCATTTTGGTTCACCACCTACCGAAAAAATGATACGTACTAGGCGACTGCAGGAAGATCAACTGAACACTGCTAAAAAAAAAACATAACCTTCGATGCCCAGCTCCATATTGGCCTGAACTTGAAAATGCCGTAAAAATGTGGGTAATAGATAAGAGGAAATCTGGGATAAGTGTTTCAACTAAAATGATAATCAATGAGGCCAAAGGATTTGCAGAAAAACATGGGAATCAGAACTTTTCAGGGTCTGAGGGTTGGTGCTACAGGTTCATGAAAAGGCAAGGCTTATCAATGCGCACAAAAACAACTATTGCATAGAAAATGCCAGCAGATTATGAAGAAAAAATACTAGCATTTCATAGGTTTGTTATAAATGCATGCAAGAAAACTTCTTTTGAGCTCGGTCAAATAGGAAATATGGATGAAATTCCACTCACATTTGATGTACCATCCAACAAGACTGTGAATATTAAAGGGTCTAAATCAATAACCATAAAAACCACAGGTCATGAAAAAAACCGATATACAGTACTTCTAACATGTTGTGCTGATGGCACAAAACTACCACCGTTTTTCATATTCAAAAGAAAAACTCATCCGAAAGAAAAACATCCAACGTGTGTAATTGTTCATGTTCATCCGAAAGGCTAGACGGAAGAAGCTGGAATGCTGGAATGAAACTGTGATTACAGAACGTATGGGCGAGGCGACCTGGTGGACTTTCAAGAAAACCCTCTCTTTTGGTTTTGGATCAGTTTAGCGCCTATAGAACTGAAAACCATAAAGAATAAAGCGAGAGAGAATTAAAAACCTAGAATAGCTGTCCTTCCTGGTGGACTGACTAGCCAACAGTTGCAGCCTTTAGATGTATCGGTGAATAAGCCATTTAAGGAAAAAGTGTGAGAACGATGGAACAAGTGGATAGGACAGCCACATCACGCCCTCACACCCTCAGGTAGAATGAAGCGACCCTGCCAATGCCAATGATTTGCAAGTTTCGGAGTGCCTATGGTTCAAAACCATGTACCTCCACATCAGAATTACTAATAGTGAGCAGAAATAGGAAAAATTTTGCATAAGTGATTTACTTGATGCTCAATAGAGGGAGCCACAGGCTCGAGAAAGTTTAGGGACAGGAATAGAAATAAACTTAAATCATAATTTTTTTATAAGTTTTTAGGTTTTTAATTTTTTTGTATTTTTATATTTATAATTTTTTTTTTTAAATTTTTAATACACGATGCAAACACTAAAGCAAAAAGC